GATAGATAGATAGATAGATAGATAGATAGATAGATAGATAGATAGATAGATAGATAGATAGATAGATAGATAGATAGATAGATAGATCATTTTGTAGAGTTAAATTGTGAAACAAACTAAAAAATATTGTTTTGTTTATTTGTATATATGTGTGATAGGGTGAACCAAAAGTAGGAAGTTGGGGGCGGAGCTTAGTCTCTAAAAGCCAGAGGAAGGCAAATCTGGGCCTTTCACTCAGTTACTCCACATGAGTATAGAGGGCAACTGGCAGCCATTACACTCAAGCTTTTAAGCCAAATCCGGGTTTGGTGCACAGACAAGAAGGTAAATAGATGCAGTATGTTTGTCACAAAAGCAGTGCAGCCAATAATGACCACATCCTCTTAGGTCCAAGCAATAGTACCAGTCATCAGTCCTGGGAAAGTGTGTCCCACCTTAATTGATGAAAGGTCCTATCACCTGCTGGCCTTCAGAACTAGGAGAGTTCTTTTGTTGGATGTTAATAAACATAAATTTTGAATAGTTAAGATAGTAATTTTAATAATAAAATGATTGTATTATAATGATGATATTTGTATTTTTTAGTGATGATTTGAATGCTGCTGAGCCGCCATCCACTGTTTTTTCCCTTGGTTAAGGTTTAGGCTGTACATTAGTTGTTTGGGCCTGTATAGACTTTTTGGACTGTGTCAAATTGGATTGACTTAGGGGCACCTTTGCATGTTTCGTTTGGTTTTTATTTGTGCTTTGTTTGGCCATGTCATATTGATTTTATTGGTGTTTCCCAACTGTATATTTATTATTGCTATTTGCACAACCCCAATTCAGCCAATTGTATACTTGTCCTGTTTTAAATAGAGCCCATCAATGAACTGTTTTGCCACATATTATATTTTTATATAAGATTTTAGAACAACTAATAATGATGCTTTTATATTTTTGCAAATAAATGTACAAATATTTTACTACTAATTAAGTCTCTTTACACTTTATTTTAAACATGGTCACATATGTATGAGAGTATATGTGTAAAAATATTTATGTATGTATATGTGTAGGTAGGTGTGTATATATATATGGACATAAATAGCAACATAGTTATAAATATTGTAAATTGAAGAAATAAAAGAATTAAAGGGGTAGGAGTACATACATTTCACTTCTTCCTACTCGTTTTTGCACATGTAATAGAGGTATATTAACTCAGGAAAGAAAGGTACTGTTTGTTGTTTCTCTCTCCAATGTTTTTAAACATTGTTTTATTGTATTTTTTTTCTCTCTCTCGCATGTTCGAAATAAAGATACCAATGGATGGATGGATGGATGGATAGATGAGATGTCAGCACTATAGGGTCTTTAAATCTTTGACAAATGCATTAGCAAACACAGGTCTGTCTTTCCATATTTGTCAAAGTCCATTTCCTTTGAATAGGATATGAGGGTGGTGGGGTGAAGGTCATTCATGTTGAAGGAAATGAAATCTTGATTTCAGATTGGTGTCAATGCAGGTTAATTTGAGGTCTAACTAAGGCTATATTGAAAAATGAAAACACAAGAAGACAGGCTAGAACAGTGCTAAATTATAGATAAGGAAAGGTCTGTGCTCATGAACAATTCCTTTCTGGTAGATAAAACCATTAAGCTACTTAAATTAGAATTGACACTTTGCATATTAGTCTAACAATTGTTCTTTGTGATGCTGTGATGGATGAGGTGACACATACACAAAAGCTCAAAGTCTTTGGCGCATCAACATGACTCATAAACTCAGGTGGCTGGTATGAAACTCTCTATGGACATATTTGAAATTTGAAAGAGGCATTTATTTTACTTGAGCTTCGTTTAGCCTGGCAATATTCTACTGATAAAAAAAAAAGAAAAAAAGAAAAGAAAAGAAAATGGAGTTGTTACTGATATTCCACAAAAGTGAAAACAATACAAAAGTTCATACAGTTTGGTTCAACAAAAAGATCTGATAATAGATTCATGCACTTTCATCTGCTTTACTTTATGGCAGAGTTCCCTCGAAGATACAATTGTGCAAATCCGTTTCACTAAAATCAAAGTTTGCATTAATATTTTAGAGGCTGGCTGATGTCACCATTCCCAGTGAAGCACCTATATAAAGGGGCACTGTTGGTGGGACCTTCCCCACAAATCTAACTCAGACTTAATCCACCTTTTGCTGAGAAGGACTCCTCCTTTTTTTTTTATCTCAGCACCATGGCCAGCGCTCTAATCTTCCTCCTCCTAACAGCCACCAGCTGCGCCTACCTGCGACTTGCCCGAGCTGAGGAGTCTTCGCTGGAGACACGCTCCTTAGACTTCACTTTGAAAACCCAGCAGGAGAAAGACCTGGTAAAGGATCTAAAGCATTTATTACAGCATTTATTTTGTGAAAATTATATAATGTTATGATAACACTTTGTGTATAACTTAAGTACCTGGAGATTTTTTCCTAATAATTTAGCTTTATTTGAACAAATGACAGCATGATACAGAATGCAAGATCCTTCTTGATCAGTTTAATTATTTTCCCTTTCAGATCGATGCTTTGCAAGAAGTTCTAGAAAAACTCAGAAACAAAGAAATGCCCTTAGAGAAGAAGCTTGGCTGGTTACCCTCGGTAAGCAAACAGGACACCAACCACAACATAATAGATTTAACATAAATGTATCTGACATGAATACAAATAATACAAAACTAAAGATAATTTCAAAATTGGATAAAATAAGTTGTCACAGTATTGTCTTATAATAATTTTAATTAACTTAACATTTATTTTACTTAGTTTTTTTCAATATCACTTTTAACAGGCCTCCAAATACATTAAAAATAGAAACAGTAACTATTAAAAAATAAAGGTAAAAAAATGAAACAAAATATGTTCATTCTATTCTGTGTTATATTTCATTTTATTTTACCGCCAAGCATGATTTTCCTTATTTAGTATTTTCTGTTATGCTTAATTTTTGCATATTACCTACATTTTAGACAAACCGTATACCTTTTTTAAACAAAAACAATAATAAATTAGTAAGGTTGTTTAAATACACAAAATTAATTAAAAGAATAAAGTCATTTACCACAGTCAATTAATGCATTTACCCATTATTCTTTGCATTTTGTAATATATTCTCTGTTGAAATTATTGACGATTGATTTGTTTTATCTCTGCAGTGTGATGCAGGAGAGCCGTGTGCTGTGCGTAAAGGTGCTCGCATTGGCACCCTGTGCAGCTGTCCACGGGGGACTTCCTGTAACTTCTATGTCCTCAAATGCTTGTAAAGAAGAAATAGAAGGTTACAAAGGAGGTCGGGTCAATTCGCCCTTTTGCCAATTTTCTACCTAAAGGTTGCCATTTTGTTTGTTCCTACCATTACTTAATGTCTTTCTTTCTTTCTTTCTTTCTTTCTTTCTTTCTTTCTTTCTTTCTTTCTTTCTTTCTTTCTTTCTTTCTTTCTTTCTTTCTATATAGACCCAAATTGTTCATAATCTGCACGTAATTAAATTATTTAACTTGCACCCTATTTCTATTTATTTCAGGCCAGTTTTAAAGTTTTTAGAATTTGTTTCCTTCAAATTGTGAAGATTACCTCCAACAGTATTAATTGTATAATATAATATATGAAAATTAATTTCAGTCTAATTGAACATTTATAAACAAAACATTTTAATCAATTAATTCCTTGGAAATGTTTACTTGGAAAGTTTTAGAATCCAGATTGTGTGTAAAAATTGAAAAGTGCTCTTAAAGGCCCCATGCTTGCCCTGGGCCCTATGGTTTGCGCCTTAGGCTGGCTCTTCAGATTATATGACCTAATTAAACAAAATTGAGCAATACCTTGCTGGCGCATTTACCTTGCTGGCGTCTTGAAACATTTTTTAAATGAGAGACTATGAGTCAATAATTACTCATCAGAGAAGGTTCAGCATATGCTCTGGTAATAAGGTAAACAATGAATGAAAATTTAGGTTAGTTATGTAATGGCAAAAGGGCAGAATGATTGGCATCCATGACATGTGTGCTGCAGAGAAAATAAAATGATGAATGTAAGATATAAGTGTGCATCTGGGCGCTGGTTCTGTGCCCACACTGATTTTCATGTGGGAAAAGAACTATGTAAAAACTTTCTGATGACATTTTCTTCTAATTTAGTCAATCATTGTGGAACACATAGCTTGCAATCTGTTTTCAAGCATATTTGTAAAATTCAATGGTAATAAATTAACTTTAAAACAATCCAGTTCACTGATTCATTTTGCAGTGTGCATGGCATGCTCATATATTTTTGGTTCTCAAGAATTGAAAAAGGTGTTATAGAAACATTCATAGGGATGGTCAGTGGTGCTGTAGGTTACTGATGTTATGCATATCTGCACAGTTAGGCTTTTTTTTTTTTTTATCAGAGTGAGACATTTCCGATAGACATTTGTTGAGCAGTATAACCAGCAGATTATGAATATATTAAATAACTAGAACTGAAAGTTATCGCTATTTAATTGTTCATTCAAATTAACTCATTAATAAATGTTTATTAATTAAATTATTATAACTGAAATCTGCTTACTCACCAAGGCTCTTCGGTCTTTTGGACTGGTTGGACTCCTGTTCCGGCTGTTAAAATCCAGTTATCTTTCTACTAATATTGTTATCAGCAGTTATTACTGTAATCACCAACCACACAAAATTGTCTCTGTTTCTTCCATTCTTAACCAAAAAGCGTCTGGATCTGGCTCTGAGTAATAAATCGTTCACTGTTATAAGTAAATACAGACAACCCCAGTTAAAATATTGTCTTTATTGTCCAATAATCCCTATGGCAGTATTATTGAATCTGATAACTATGCAAACACTACACACTACTGAGGTAAATGAAAGGCTAATAAAAAGAGGAAAAGGGATCTGAGAGTCCATTCAAAGAGTTGCAAAGGAATGCTCAGGTTTTAAGGCTTGATGCAATTTAGGGCTTTCCTTTAAAATAATAGATATAATACTAGATCTTTATTTATTCATTCCTCTGCGGAGGACGCATCGCCACAATATAAGTATCATAATAGATAAATGTCAATGATAACTTGTACAGAGATCTTAAATGCAATAAAAACAGTGAAACTTCATTCGGTTTTACAGTGAATAGTGAAAAATGACTCAGAAATGCATTAAAATGTAGCAGCACTGCAGGAAATTAAAACAGCTCAGATAGCACCGGAAAGGCCAAGCTCAGGTAGAACAAAGGGCCATAAAACGTTGTCCTAAGATGACCTCGTATTCTAGCAATGCTAACCAACCAAACTTTAGCACATTAAAGGTAAAGTGGAGGATGTTCTTTTTCCGGGTGGATCATCAAAATAAGTGGTCCTCCTAATTGTCAATCGTTCTGATATGTTTATGTAGGCCGTCCTACATGCTTGACCCCTTTTTCACTTTTTAAAAATGACCCCATATTACCCCATTTTCACAAGTCTGACATAGAGGAAAAATTGCAAATCTTCTTTTGGAAAGAAAGCTTGTATGACCGATGCAAACAGCAACTTTTAAACAGAGCGTGCACGAGGAGAAATGGGCTCATGTGTTGGGATCTGGAGGTCTGTCCACCTTTCTCCAGCAGACGGCGTTCTAGGTCTCCTGGGGCTGAAGCTGACCACCACACCTGCGGCTCATGAGCTCATCAGGAGACCAGCATTTAAGGTGGGGCAGAGCTACAATCCGACGCCAGAGTGTTTGCCAGTTATGGTTAGCAAGCCTGAGCCAACCTGCCAGTCTGAATATCAGACTCCCCTGAAGCCTGAACCTGAACCTAATCTGCTTTTTGTCCTCTCTGCTTCTCAGGAAGAACCAGCCTGGAAACCTGAAGACCTGGAAGGGTTTCTCAAGCGTGAAACCAAGCTGTCTGTTCTCAGAAGAACCCTGGAAATCCTACTCAGTCTGAAACCTGCCTGCCCGCTCTCAGCAAGAGCTGAGGGAGAAGCTCTGAACCTGCTCAGTAAGATTATCTGCTCTGCCCTGCCTCTGCCTAGCCCTCTGTCTGCCTTCAGCCTCTGGACCCTCCTGGTTCCCCCCTTCTACCGCTCTGCTCATCTCTGATCAGGTATAGACCTGCAAACACCCAACCTGCAAGTCCACTGAAAGACTGCTAACCAATCTGTCCCTCTCTGCAGTGAAAACCAGTCGTGACCAGACCCGGACCCAGTTATCCCCAGTAATCATTGTTCTTTATTGTGATTTATCTTCAATAAACTTGTGAACTTTTTCCCAGTCTCTGAGTGTTCTGCATGTGGGTTAGATCCCTGAAAGCCAACATGACATCATGCCTGCTCTCGCACGCATTAAATAGGCATTCCCTCTCTAGAGCAAGAACAGGGTTGTGCATGTGCATTTTTTTTAAGTGGAGAAGGCGTGTCTTTTCAAACATTTGTCTTTTCAAAAATCCCCTGTAGCGGCAACCTTGGGGTCACCGCTTCAGAGTAAAAAATAGAGGGATTTATTTGTCTTTAACTTTCATACCAAACAAAAGCGCTCCTGCATCACACGGTTGAAAAACTGTTTGCCACTTCCACTTTACCTGCCCCGGTGACGGCACCTATCTATTATGTCAATCAATCAGCTTATCAATGTCACGCCCACCATACAGGAAGAGCAGCAAATAAGCATATCAATTAAAACATAACACATAAACATAAGCATAAGAATGAAAACATAAACATATTTTCAACTAAAGATTCAAAAAATAAATCAGTAGAATTAGAATGCAAATATGTTCATAATAAATTCAGAAAAACAAAAGAAATACAAAACGGCTTCAACATCCCCCACCATACTTTAAACTTTTCAGACAAAAGAAAAACAAACCAGAGACACATTGCGGTGGTTGATCACAGTCAGGCTCATTGAGCACAGATTTTGAATTTCTGATCAACCAAGATTTAGACAAGATCAGGGACACATTTGTACATAAACTTAGCTATTTTGAGCTTTTCAATGTAGTCTCTCATTGAGAAATTGGACTGTTCTTAAAATAAATAGGCTCTGCCTCGCAGGGCCGTAACTATCATTGAGGACACAGGGGTCGTATCCCCTGTATGTTTTTTCTTTGTTTATTTTTTGCTCAAATTGTGATAAATAAACTAAAAGCAAATTACGCAGATACTGACAATGATCTTGGCCTCCCACAAAACTTGGAGTTGTTTTATATTTGAGGTGTTTTATAAGAGCCAAGAGAACTGCAACTGTTTCATAAAACAGTAGCTTGAGGCTTTGGGCATATTTGCTACGTGCCATTGTCAGCATGTCGGTATGGTTACTGCCACACACATAAGCTACTGAGGCCTTTCCTGAGTCAGTCAGCCACGGCAATCACTGAAAGAGGAGCACATCAAGCTACAAATGTTGGTGGGCAGCAGTTTAAGTTGTTGAAGACTGAGGGAAAAAAAAGAAAATCATGAGGAAATATTTTGATTTAATTTGATTTCAGCCTGGCTTACTACTCAAATGGACATTGAACCAAAGTTTAATTAACTCCGTCTGTGCCGTTCGTCAGTCAATTTCCACCGGTTGAATCAACATTCATAATGCTCTTAATATGTCAGCTTCGTCTTTGACAAAAAATGAAACATTTATCATTGATTTCTTTTTTTTTTTGCACCATTAGATTTTAGGATTCCAAACTACAGTTTAAGAAAAATCTTAATCTCTAAGCTTACCGTAACTCAGTAGACAAGAACTAACTCTGCCTTTTAGATTCACATAGATTGACATTTCTTAACACTCTAAAAAATGCTGGGTTATATTATTTACCCAAACGCTGGGTTATCTTTTTCCCATTAGACATTTTTTCTAGGATATTTTATTTTTATTTTTTTTTATGGAATTCATGGAACCATGCAGTCAAAAGTTCTTCACAGCTGGAAGATCAGTTTGTCAGAGTTCGGCACGCATTCTGGATTATTTTCACGCCGCCGCTATTGCCATGATCCATCTGTGGTCATGCAGAATGGGCACCGCTGCACCGCTGCATGGCAGATGGTCTGTGTGTTCAAACAGGACACAGCAGCACGGCTGATACTGCTTAGCGGATTACAGCACAATGATGCATTTTAAATGTCTGACCGACTAGCCGCAAATTTGTATTTAGTCTTGACTCGTCTCGTTGACTTTAACTCACACCTGTAACTCTCAAGTTTTTGTCCGCAAAGATCCATGTTTAGCTCGTCAGTTCTCGTTATCGTCATGAAAAAAAGACAAAATAATTTCGTCATCCTTATTGTTGACGAACAAAACACTGTCGGAAATAACCCAGGTTTGGTTATTTCTGACCCACCTGGTTTTGGTGTACATGTATAGATAGATCACATGGAATTCTCAAAAATTCTTATAAACCAGTAAGGAAATATGCAGTAATATCATAACTTCAGATTTGCCGTTTATTAGCTCTAATATCAAGCGGCACTCATGTTTTAAAAATATTAACATCAGCTCTTCCCTGAAAGCATGGTGGGAATTTCTTAAAATGACGAAGTCATCACTGACGAAGTGATCACGTGCAGTCGCATGGAATAAATTCACCACAACTTCTGTTCAAAATATAAGATTTTATTAACAAAAATCATTCAGCTCCACGTCAAACGTATTTC